AAAAGAATAAAAACCAGTCATTAAGAAGACTATTAAAAAGAAAATAAGCAGAAGCGGTTCTTAACAGAACACTGGAATATAGAAAAAGATCTAAACACAAGATCGATTAAATTAAAGAAATATAACAGCTGTAAGCTTGATCAAGAGAAGCAGAAAAATTCATGCAGGTTATTAATAGAAAAAGAATTATCACAGGGATCAATCACAAAGTATATGGACAAACAGGAGAGTGCTCTCAAAATCGATCAAGAAGCGTTCAAAACAATACAATAGCTCCCAAAACCAGAAATACTACCAAACAAAAGAGAAGTTCAAGAAGTGCATTGTTATGATTTGAATATTGAAATCATTAATAAACAACATATTAGCAAAAAAATGAAAAAGGAGCTAATAGAAAAGAACTCAGAAATAAAGAAAAGTCTACTATCAGCTCAAATGATATTTTATACTGACGAATCCCTCAGGAGAAATAGTACACCTACTCCAAATGAACCACCAAGATAGGAGCTAGCTGGGTAAAAGTTAATAAGAACAAAAACCAAAAGATAAATGAGGATTTCTTCAGAACAAGAAACTGACCTTCAATGACAAAAGCAGAATTGCTTGGAATTTGATATGTATTACTTTTGGTACCAAGAAAAAGAAACATGAAAATTTATACAAATAGTGCAGTAGTGATAGAAAGTATAGAAGGGAGGAGGAAAAAGAGAACAATGTAACAAATCTTTAAAGAGAGAAATCATAGTTTAGTAAATAGTATAGTTGATATAACTAAGACTAGAGTTTCAACCCGGATTAATCCGGCATCCATTTATCTGCATTACTATATCCGGATATCTATCTTATTAGATCGGATATCCAAATAGATTTAACCGAATTATCCGATCAGATATCTGATCAGATATCCGATCAAATATCCGCCCTATAAAAAAAATTCATCAAATAAATATTTTAAAATTGTTCTAAAATTATTTAATAGTATTTTCAATTTTTATTTCATTTAAGTTTAGTTTTTTCTAATTTTTGTTCAAAAAAATATTCAAAATGGAGTCGATTTGTTGGACAATTTATTGAACAATAATTTATATGATTTTTGTATAAAATTAGTATATATTTAAATAAATTTTGTTTAATTTTTAACATAATAACATTAAATAATTGTATAATTAATACGCATTAGTTATTATATATTCATATAAAGCATATTTAGCTTTTATCAAATAAATATTTTATTGTTGTCACAATGTCTTGCTTATATAATAATTATTAATTCAATTTTGTGCAAATAATTTACTAAATACATGCAATTAATATTCAAATAAATCACAGCTTTCATTAACATTATTACCGCACATATATATATTGTGCATATATATATCACATACATATGTTATTATGCGATTATTTTTCTGCAAAAAAAAAAAAATTAGATTTCAATTTTTTAATAAATATTTCAAATATTATATATTAAATTGTATCATACTATTATTCTTCGATTTTTTAGATACTTTCAAAGATCGGCTTTTAATAGTTTTTTTTCGAGTTCACGGCATCAGCAATTTCATTAACGGGATCATTACTTTGAGCGCTAGCATGAATGCTACTAAATCATAATAATGTAAATATAAATCAATATTATTAATTAAATACTAATAACCAACTTGCAAATCACAGTATGTTAGTATACCTGGAAGCATGACTACGTAATGTGCGACCAGAGGCTCGATATTTTTTACTTGGTATTTTCAATACTTCAGTGGTAGAACTAATATCTGGGATGTCGCTGTTATTTTGCTGTTGAAGAGTAGTTAATGAAGCACGAGAGGTACTAGTATCGGTAGTTATTCTTGTATTATTTACTAGACTTGAAGTTCTGGTAACTTCTAAAGGCTGATTGTGATCGATAGTCTGAAAATATATAATATATAAAATTAATAGTAGTTTATTAATAACTTATTATAATCTACATACACTCATTCCAAGGCTGGATACAAACTCTTCGATGGTCTCACGTGTTCCGATAGGAAGGTCTTTTATTTATTAAAAAAAACACCCCAAAAAATAAAATGTTTATAAAACTAATAATTAAAATAACTGATTATACCTTTCTTCGTTTTTTTGCTATTGTGAGATGAATGGCTATTCATTTTACGCTTTTCAATATCACCTGTTGTAGAGTAAGTTGATTATATTTTTGTTTCATATAATAGTACTTATTCATAATTTTGGCTAATTCTTACGAACGTTTATTATTAATTATTCCTCGCATTATTCGCCTAATAGCCCAGTCACAAATTGTAAGGGGAAACATTGGATTTTTGCGTTTAAACTAAAAATTGTTTTTTATTATTTTGAAAATATTAATAGAAGCAATTGAACCATGGGTCTTACTCTTTTAATAATTCCACTTTTTTCGCTCTCAGGTATTTGTCGAAACTCAGGCACGTTCTTTTCATATTTAGCCGTTATCATTAGACGAAGTGATTCCTAGAATAACAATATTAAATCAATAAATAAATAAATCAATAGATAAATGAAAGATATGTATAATAACACTATTACCTGATAACTATTATATATAGGCTTATCAATCTTGAGAAACTTTGGTATATTAACGTACATTGTCTCACTTGGTTTTTCGATTGGTACTGGCTTTTGAATAATTATTTAGTAATTATGTAATAGTAAGATTACCAAATTATCAAATATATACAATAGAATCTTTGTCACTACTCTCCGTTCCTGAACTAGAAGTATCCTTGTGATTTTTCTTATTCGATTTGGGTTTTTTTTTCTTTTTCGTTTCTTAGATGTATTGTTATCAGTATCATCTGAGATGAGTTCAATTTTTCGATTCTTAACCTTATTATGAGCTGTTTGAAGTTTCTCCAAAGTTTCTAATCGTTTAATTAAGGCCGACATTTTATTTGTTTTTGAAAAAGGTTCATCTTCACTATCTGAACTTTGTTCGCTTCTATCTGTTTCCAATTCCGAAATAGATTGAGTTACTTCTTCTCGATTACTTGCATTTGGACTTCGACTAATTGCAGACGCTCCTTTTTTTTTATTGAAAACCATTATTGCAGAGAAAAAAAATAGTCGCAATCTATTTATTAGTAAGTTTTTTTAATTTATAAGTGTATCTAATTTCACATTTACTTTTTTCTTACTAATAAGCACATTTTAGTCCAATTAGAAAGATACCTCTACCAAACCGACTTGAATGATAGTTTGCCAAGTTTCAATAAGAAAAGTTTATTCTTCAAGCAAAACTTATTGAATTAGAAGAGGCTTTATTTTAAACGAGCAAGAGCTAAAGAGAGTTCAACTGGAACAAGCAAGGTAAACTTGCCACTAGTTATTTGACAGCAAAGGTAGATATTTGTTTTATTACTTTTAAGTTAGAGAAAGAAATTTACTGATCATGATTTTCTCTTCCTTTTTATTAAATTTTTGACTATATATTATCATTATCGCTATGACATAATTTACTATGACATATTTTATACTGTACGTACTTTATATGAGTGCTACCAAAGGACAATGTCCCTTCGGGCTTTCAATTATATTTTGACCGGACACAATCCTTAATAAATTATATAGTTTGTGT